TGAAGGCCTACGTGGACGCTACAGGCAAGGAGGTCCACGCTGGGAACATTGAAAAGGTCACTACAAAAGAAAAGGCCAAATTTCCACAGCATTTCTTTCCTGAGGTAAGAAAAGGCATTTTTGTAAGTTATTCTTTTATTTTGGTTAGCTTCTTGTCTTTTCAGTATTTTATTTAGCTGTTGGAGAATGATGATCGTATTTGCATTGGTTTTTTTGGGAGGGGAGGGGTTAATTCTCAAATGATTTCTCTCGCCCTAGGCGTGCCGAGATGGAGTTTTAGACTCTTGCTGACTAAAAATATCAACAATTATAATATATATAACTAATAATACAATTTATTGATTGATTAATTCTCTCTACAGTCTCTCTCTATAGTCTTACAATAAAAAACAGTTTCACATATACTATTAAAACAAATTGACTCTATTCACAAGTTTAATAAAGTTTTAACCATTCACTATCTTTTTTTAAAGACAATCGTCTCGCGCGCTAAGCTTCTATCAAAGTGAAAAAGCTAGTGATGTGCCCCATTTGGCGGGCAACACAGTGATGTCTCTAGTAGATCGATTTTCTCAGTTTAACAATACATATTACCGTTGCCAGCGTAAAAATATTCAATTCAATTTAAAAACATTACGCTATATATTCATTACTCAGACACAATAGCAAGACAACAAGCAAACGCCGGCGTTCGCTTGGGGTTTGATGAATTAAATTGATGAAGTTAATTGTACGGGCTGTTGGCTGTAATTTACTATGACTCGTACAAAAATCATCTGTATTTTTTTAACCTGCTTACCAAGTAACTGTACGATAACACACATCACAGATATTGGTAACCTAATAACGAAACATTTGAAGCCTACAAGTGAGTTATAACTACCGTCCATTTATGGACAACGGTAGCCATTAATTATATCACAGTGTTTGGACAGTGAAAGTTCGTACGTGACGTATTGTCAACTATGAACTAAATATTTGCGTTAGGACCTACAATACTCACCGGGGCGAAATTCCACTGCCGCGTGAAATTAGTGCGTGGAGGAATGAGCTCCGGCGCGATCTCATGGCAGAGTGGAAGCAACGTCTGTCGCAAACGATGGCTGGGCACTCTGTTATAGCAGCGGTAAGACCCCTCTTTGAGGAGTGGCTTGAGAGGCGCCATGGCGTCCTCACCTTCCGCCTAACGCAGGCTCTTACCGGGCACGTCAGCTCCGGTAGGTTCCTGTTTCGGATCTAGCGGTAGGAAATCCCCGAGTGTTGTCATTGTGAGGACCTGAGGATACGGTGAAGCATGCGGTAACGGTGTGCCCTGCTTGAGCTGAGCACCGCCGTGTCCTCAGGGAAGTGATCGGCGGCGGCGTCCTCTCGCGCCCGGCCTTAGTTGAGGCCATGGTAAGGAGCGAGAGGAACTGGGAAACCGTCTCCTTTTTGTGCATATCATTCATGTCTTCTAAGAAGGAGACAGGCGGAGTCCGTGAGGAAACTATTATTCTCACGCTCCGGCCGCCCCCAGTAGGAGGCACTCCGTCTATAAGCGCGGGTCTGAGGACGGCCAGCCAGGGTAGCATGACACCAGAACCAAACCCGAATATACGGTGGAATATTTCTGAAAATTGATTATTTCTCTAAAATTGTGATTATGTTTATTCAATAAATCATAACCATTCGTTTTCAGTGCAAGTGGTCGCGCAAAGGTTTCCTGCGCACGCGCTGGTGGGTGCGCGGCACGGCCATCGAGTTCGTCAATATACACCTCTTCCACGACGCGTCTAACTTGCTCGCTATAGAACCCTTCCCTTCTGTAAGTATTATTTACTTTTATAAAGGTGGAAGAAGTATTTATTCAACATACATAATATATGAAAATACTGGCATCATCGGATAAAAAAAATGAGCAAACAAAACAAAAAAGAACATTTGGAGTACCTACCCAATAATAAAGTTAATAATAAAGATCAATTCCACTTTTCGTTGTAATGTCATAACACAACAATAATGCCTTTACCGATGTGGCTAATTTTGGTCTTCAATTATTCGTGGAAGTCGATGGAAAGTTTAAAATGTCAGACAACTTATAAATGAAGATTGCCAGTTCAGCTAGTAAAATTTGAAAGTTGTATTTTTATTGTTTGTGTAGGTGTATTGTAGGTCCCGTCGCCGCGCCCTGCGGCACACCCTGCGCCACCTGCACGCGGACGCGCACGCCGCGCCATACTTCATCTTCGGGGACTTCAACTTCCGCACAGACACCGGCGGAGTCGTCAAGGTTACTAACTAACACTTAACTGTACTTTAATTCTGACTTTAATATCCTTATCACGCCTCAAACGCCGTAGAGGAGACAGTAAGCGCGCAGCTAGAACCAGACCCGAGCGTAGAGTCAACAGACCTCCATAGATGTCCATGACCATCTATGGTGGTCCACCATATATGTCCATCAAGAGACGATCTCCGGCCACCACCGTAAGCGCGGGTCTGCGTTAGGCGAGTAAGGGCAGCTCGCCGCCCGACCAGAACCAGACCCGAGCGTACGGCGCGTAGCGTTCCGCGCGCGCCTCAAAGAGACAATAGACCACAGTTGTGACCTAACAGGGCTGATGTTCAGCCGGGGTTGCACATGTGCAATATAAGGTTCAAATTTCCTTGCAACGACTAACAAAAGATATTCACGAATTAATCAACCCTATTTCAATAGTAATAAAATCCATATTTCCTTACAGAAAGTAACAGAAGAACTGTCAGGTAGTCGACTACAGAATGGTGGTAATGTAGATGCCTCCAAGCTGCAGTACAGATCTCCTACCGACGGCCGAGTCGTCCTAACTATAGGGAAGAAAGAGTTCTCTCATGTAGACCATCAGAAGATCTTCAGGGAACCCTGGGTGAGTGCTATAGAAAATCTATCTTTACGTTTTGGTCGTCTTTAAGTTTTGGTTTGTGAGAATGTATAGATGTATGTTTGTGTTATCCTTTACTTAAAAACGGCTAGACCGATTTAATTGATATTTGGTTTGTAGATAGGTGATGATACCGTGGGTTAAAATACAGGCTGCTTTTTATCAACATACCACGCGGGTGAAGACGCTAGCGCAACCTAGTCTATACTATATTATTATTAATATTATAAAGCAGAAGAGTTTGTTTATTTGTTTTAACGCGCAAATTTCAGGAACTACTGGTTTGAATTGAAAAATTATTTTTGTATTTAATAGACTATTATTTGAGGAAGGCATAAGGCTATAAAACATCACGTTGAGCTAGCTCTGTTCGAGTCGAGCAGCGGGCCAAACCGCGCGAGAGTAACTAGTATTAAATATAATGATATTATTTCATTCCCAGTTGCAACGCTTCGACCGTGAGTTAGAAGCCCTCCGGCCGCACTTGTACGAGTTCCCAGTGAAGTTTCCTCCCTCCTACCCCTTCGAGGAGGACGTTCACCTACCAACACATTATATGAAAACCAGGTACGATAGCTTACTGAAGTATCAATCAGTCTTGGTGGCTGTAATATTCTTCTGACACCTTGTAATATGAATGAAAGTCCTGGATGTTACTTTATTTGAGTTTTATTTTACAATACACAGCCGGGCAGCTGCAATACAATAGTTACTCATTATCGATCGATCGATACACTAAATTTAAGATATTTTGTAGCTAATTTTTAAGAAATAAGTAAGCTATTTTACGCAATGTACTATGACGTCGTAACTTACACCCGGTTTCCGAAAGGCCGATCAATGTTAAAATCAATTTAATGTCTTGTCAAGTCATCTGATTGGTTGTTGATAATTCAGTCAACCAATCAGATTTCAGATTCTGATTCTGATTCTGATCAGAATCAGAATCAGATTCTGAAATCTGAAACAGGAGATTAGTTTACAGAAGAGATATTTTAACAGAGATTTTAGCGTTGAAAAGCCGCTCAGAAACCGGGTGTTAGTGTTTCATACAAATGTCATAGAAAAGTATGGTTTTTGTCATTTGGATAAATGTATTGAATTTGATTAGTTGGAAACTACCGCATTATACATATGTACTTTCTATGATTATTTAGACACCACTGATATACGGTAAAGGAAATTGAAGAAACCCGGACTAACTTACTTTTACTGGCCCAATAAGAGATACACAAAAACTATTCTCACACATAATTATATTTTTCCAAAGTATTTATTGAATTCGAATTCGGTTGAATGAAAACATCGGAGGAAACCTGGACTTATAATTTCTTCTTACAAGTGTGAAATTACCAATCCGCCTTGAACAAGCGTGGTGATTAATGCTCAAATATTCTCCGTGTGAGAAGAGGTCTCTACTCAGCAGATGATGATGAAATAGTTGATAAGTGTATAATGTAACAATTATTTATTTATTTTTTTATTTTATTTATTTATTTAAGTCAGGCATCTGAAGCCCATAGAGAATACAATACATAAATATATTATAACATTAAATCATAAACTAATACATATGTTACATTAAAAAACTTTAAAACTAATGCACACGAAGTGTCGGCGTCGTGTTACGCTGCGTGGTGTCGCGTAGCCATCCTCGGAACCTCCGATATACGACACCCTTCGGCCTCCTTGAGGCCTTCGAACTCTTCCTTGAGGAATGTCTCGAAGTGATGAGTTGGAACTCGCACCATGAACGAATTAAAGTTCGTATTGTGGCGCGACTCCAACTTCACCACCCTCAAGGTCCAGTTGGTCTTGGATCGGACATACTCCACGATCTGCTCCACTGTCGTGGTGTGATGTAGACGGGACACGTACAACTGCGTCGTTGGTACTGCAGGACGCAGCAGGATGTTTCGTCCAGTTTGTGCAGTTCCGCACTTATTCCTACAAGTTAGCCTCTTTTTAATAATGCGGACCCCTCGACGTTCCCCTCTTGAGTTGAGTGAAATATTTTTTTTTTCACAATATAATGTAGATATGGTACATTTTGTTGCTATTTAGAAAAGTAATATAAAGTTTTAAAATACATGGAAGTGATAATCACTACGTTACCTCCTCAGATGTCCGGCTTGGTGTGACCGGGTCCTCCTGTCTCAGTCAGCGCGTCTACTGGTGCAGCATGACACCGCCAGACCCGCAGACAACCGCCATATGCATGCATCCAGGTACAAACACTATAACATTATATTTTTACCATAAGACTAAAGTAATAATTTTCAGTGTGGGAGAGCCATGCTTCGGCACGAATGGGTCGGCTCGACCGGAGTGATACCACGGCCTCAGACAAAACTGGCGTAAAACGACCACAGTGTTATGTTTCGCCTTTTGAGTGAGGCTACCGGAGGCCCAATCCTTCCCCTCCCCCAATCCCTAAGTTTCCAAAACCCTAATCCCTAAAAGGTCGGCAACACACTCGTTACTCTTCTGTTGCGGGTGTCCATGGACGGCGCCGATTGCTTACCATCAGGTACTCCGTCTGCTAGTTTGTCGACCTATTCCATAAAAAAATCTCTAATCCCTAAAAATCCGTGAACACACTTGTAACTCCTCTAACGTTACGGGTGTCCATGGGCGGCGCCGATTGCTTACCATCAGTCGCTTCGCTAGTTGACCGAGCTACTACATAAAAAAAATTGTTCAAAGTACCCTCTTCAAAAGAGGAACAGTTTTATTACAAAGATTTGGAGGGCAAGTCATACTTCGAGAGATGAAACAATGTTTTTTAAAATTATTATTTATTTTGAATGTGCAGGAAGTCAGTAACGGACTCGACAGACAGCAGCGGGCGCGTGTCGTCGTCCGACAGTAGCCCCGCGCGGTCCGCCTCGCCCGCGCACGCGCAGGTACAGAGCTTACTACTGTATTCTCATTACATAAGGTGCATTTTGGAATACACATGCGAGATCATATCATAGTGCGTTTCTTCTATGTCGTAGTGCCCTAGAGGTTAAGGCATCCACTTCCCGTACATGAGAGTTAGAAACCTTGGTAGTATCAATGTGACTTTTTTCGAGTTATTATGTACTTCATGACTTTTTTCTATTGTATCTCATATACTGGCTGACAAGAGGTGTAATCCTTTTGTATGGTAAAAGTCGACTAATAAGCAGATGGATTACCTGATGGTAAGCACTCGGTGCCGCCCATGGAGACTCGCAACGCCAAAAGAATTCGGAATTTCGGATGTAAGGGATTTAAGATCTATTCTATGTACGCTACACAACAATTGGGTAATTTCCTAGATCAAAAATAAATTAATTCGACGTTTTATCCATTCGACTTTTCTTCTTCGACTTTTATTAATCGATCTGTACACTTAATTTTACATATTTTCTATTTTTAAGAAGTAAGTAAGGTATTGACGCAAATATGCTATGACGTCATAACTCAGTTTTTCATACAAATTTCATAGAACAGTATCGATCGACATTTGGATAAAAGTCTTGAATTTGACTAGTTGAAAACTACCGTATTGGAAGGATTTCATTGTAGTACTTATTCGTACGGTAAAACGGGTTGAATAGAATTCGAGGGGTGAATAGACACAGATGAGGGGCGAATACAGATACTAGGGAAATTTACCAACAGCTATAATTCACCCCTTTTCTGTATCCATTCACCACTCAAATTATATTCACCCCGTTTTACGGTATTGTTTTGCAGGGTAGTCCTGGTAAGACCTTGGAGAAGAAGAGCAGCCTGGCGGAGTTGGACGGTCTGGCGGTCCCCGCCCCCTCACTCAGCAGGAAGAGCATCGCCGACCCCACCAGCGTCCAGCAAGCTATCTCCGCCAGGTTCGGACTATATACACGAAGCTAATCTCGCAGTTTCTTTATTTTTTTAATCCTCGACGGGCAAAGTTATAACACCCCTCGTGTTATAACTTTGATGTGTCTGTTTGTCTGTCTGTGGCATCCTGGATCCTCAACGGATGAAGCGACTTTAATTTAGTTTTTTTTTTAGTATTAAAGGTGACTTACGTGCCGGCGTTCTTAGACATGTTTGACGAAAATCGGTTGAGCCGTTGAAAAGTTATGGGGGCAAGTGAGGAAGGGTAACCAAAGGTCTGCAAATATACTCGAGTGGGGTCTCAAATGAAAGCGCACTGAAAGGCAATGTTGATGACTTAATCGAAAGAAAATGATATAAAATAACTATAAAAAGTATAAAATAAAAAAGTAAATTACACCCCCGAAAAAATTAAAATATGTACTTGGTAGATAATAAAATATTTGGATCCAACGCCACTATTTTTTTAATTGTTACTTTTTAAAAGAATATTTGATTATTTGTCGGGTTTTTTTTTTAATTTATATTTATATCTATTTATTGTTATCACAAACTAAGCTATCCTTACAGTTACCCAATGCGATAGCTTAGTGACTCACAAGCTATTTATTACACAACATATTTCATCTTTGCCAACGTTTACATAAAAAAAACATTCTCAAGTCATGCAAACTCTATTCAAAACAGCAATAAGCACTAAATATTATATAACTAAGTACTTTTTTTTGTTTCAGAATGTCTGAAGAAGGTTGCGGTAGACGTCGCTTAGTTCGTAACCAGTCGGAAGGGGAGCCAGCCCCCCGCGAGCGCCGGGACCCCGCCCCCCGACGCCGCCCCGCCTATGGGGTCATTGGGGATTCCGCCTGCATGGGGGACCATAAGGTACCTTTACTCTACCTTACTTATACGCTACTAGCGACCCGTCCCGGTTTCGCACTAATGCAATTCTGATACTAAATATATCCAAAACTAGCTAATCTCGCGCGGTTTTACCCGCTGCTCGGCTCCATTTTATCTTAGCGTGATGTTTTGTAGCCTATAACACTCAGGAACATTGTAGCTATTTATCAGTGAAGGAATTTTGGCAGCATTTTTACGATACTTTTCTATAAATTTTTTATGTAAAACTGAGTTATGACGTCATAGCATTTTTGCGTCAAATAGCTTACTTATTTCTTAATAATTAGCTACAATATATCTAAAACTTATTGTATCGATCGATAGATGAATAAAAGTATAGTTATTTTTCAATATTTTATTGTATTAAAACGTCGAACTAATTTATTTTTGACCTAGGAAACTACCAAATTGTATGTTTGTAAACGCACCCAAGATACAGAAGAAAATCCTAATCGCAAATTATATTTTCTTATAATCTTATCAGTACTTTATAATTTAACCATCAACATTTTATTCCAGCCGATCTACCTCCGTGTGATGCTGCAGAGTGACCGAGGTAGGCTCCAGTGCTGCGCCCCCCCTCGCGCGTGCTCGCTGTGTACCAGTGCCGCCCTGCTTCCCTCCTCCCTGTCCCTCCTCTGCCCACTCCCAACGCTGGCCCCACTACCGCGCCTGCCTACAGACCCCGATCTCTACGCGAACAAAAAACTCAAAATCCCTACCATATCTAGTAGTCACCCAGCTAGCCTAACTGATGAGAAATTAAAAAGAACAAGAACTGGATCCCTTAATGAGACTATGCTTAGGATACCACAAGTAGAAATCACTAGTGCGGACTCCAGTCTCGATGGCGTCTACGTAAACGATGTCGATAATACACTACTCAGTGTCCGTCGATGTATCGATCCCTACACACCAGAAAGTATCGATTCCCACAGCCCTAACGTCGAAGCATCCTCTGGCTCCGACGAAGTATCGATAGAAGTGACAGAAAAATCGACTAATAATAACAATAATAAATCGACGAAATTGAGTAGGGATCGCAGTGTATCGCCTACGCAGTTGAAGAATCGATTAGATAAGTTGTTGAGTGATAAGGAGGAGGTTAAATCGATACCTGAATTGCAAAGGTTGCATAGTCGAGAGTCTTGTAAGTCGGAGGCTAGTAAAAAAGGGGGATTATGTTGTTTAGCCCTAAAATGCTATGGGTTCTGTAGGCGGCGCGCGCGCAGAGTGAAATGTGACTGTAGCCTCGCCAAGTGTTGCTCCTGACATAGTAGATAGTGATGTGACTTTGTTGTTTAGTCGATTCCCTTTTTATCGATTGTTTATCATCGATTTTTTTCATTGCAATATTTAGTGATTTTTTACATCGTATTTTTTAACAACTGGATTGTTGAGAACGAATATCTTTAATATCATGTATTACTTACAAAACATGGACAAAATCAGTCTGAAATACAGATAATAAATTAAATTGAAGAAGTAATCTTTAGAAAAAAAAAAATCGATGATAAAAAATTGGTTGACAATGCATTGTTGTTTGCATTTTTTTTGTTTTTGATGTAATTATCGTTTGCACTGTGTTTTTTTTTTACTTTTTTGTAGTTATTTTAATTATAATTAGACAAACCTTTATTTAGAAAGGTTTTCACCAAATACGGTATTGCATTTACCGCGAGTTCGCATGGTAACAATATAATAACGCATGCATTTTATTATATAACATATCAATGTCCAACTAGATCTTTAAACTATTAATTAATAATGTTTAATTAATAAAATAATAATTTTATATTAATTTAGGTAACGTATGTGCTTATAACTAGTCGAAATTTCGCTTTTAATTATCGATATAATTTTATCGACAAACCCCACATAAGTCACTACTCTATTCTCGACCACAGACAATTGCACATAAAGCTACCAGACTCTTTTTTTTTTAATTGATTTTAAACTCCATTCGTTGTCTTTTTTACCTGATGGTAAGCAATCAGCGCCTCCCATGGACACTCGTAATATCAAAGGAGTGTCGTCGCCGTGCTCCTGTAAGTTATTAGGGATTTAAGGATAGTCGGGGTTGCGGGTTAAGCAAAATGAGTCACCGCGGCCTCGGCTCTGAGCAGGAGAAGGGACGGGGGGGTTTTGTACTCAGTAATTGTCTAACACTCTCGCCTTACCCTGGGTGGGAGAAGTCATTTGATGATTTTCCCCTGAAAAAAAATTAGTATTGTGGATGTAAGGGGAGAAGGATTGGGCATTCGGTAACCTCAATCATACGGCAAAAGACACAACACATATTTCCAGCATGCCAATTATTTTGTGTGGGAGAGCCATGCTTCGGCACGAATGGGTCGGCTCGACCGGAGTGATACCACGGCCTCACAGGAAACCGGCGTGAAACAATTACAGCGTTGTGTTTCGCCATGTGAGTGAGGTTACCGGAGGCCCAATCCTTCCCCACCCCCAATCCCTCCTCCAAATCCCTAAATCTCCAAATCCCTAATCCCGAAAAGGTCGGCAACGCACTCGTAACTCCTCCGTTCCGTCCATGGGCGGCGCTGATTGCTTACCATCAGGTTATCGGTCTGCTCGTTTGCTGACATATTACACAAAAAAAATTGAGTCACGATGTATATACAGGGTGTAAAAACACACTTAACGAAGCCGAAAGCCACGTATTCTACCCATTATTTGGATAATTTTTTTCTTTAAGACCATAGCTGGGACTCCACAGGTTCTCGAGATATTGAAGGTCAAAGATGCATTTTTATTTATAATTTTATTGCGCAATCGAATTCTAAGTATTATTACAAAACTTTTTTCCAAACAAACATTATTTAGGTACCTGAATTTTCAATTTTTCTAAATAAATTACGCATTTGAAGTCACGAACAGTAATGTACGTAATAAATAAATGCAGACCCGCACAAAAAACATCGTGCATCTCAGTAGGATTTTTATTTTACAGTATTGTTTTGTTGTTGCGAAGTAAAATGTCGACCTACGTACTTATCACAGCGTTTTAATGCTAAGCTGTGAACCTACGCACACAATGACACGAAGCCCGTTTGCTTTACATTGTGCGCAATAAAATTATTATTTTTTTGCTGCCTAAAAATAAAAGTCATTTTCCCGTGATAATTTTAGCGTAAAGCTACTTAGTTAGAACTGCAGTATGCGTAGTTAACGGCTTCGTTAAGTGTACACCCTGTATATTATGTACATTGTTAGGTTAAATAAAAGAATATAAAAAAGTGCGTCTGTCGTCACAGGAGATTAAAATTTATTAAAAAAAAAATCTTGACGGTAGTCTAATGTGCCAAATGTCTGTCTATAATAATGGACTTATTTTAAAAAGACAATATTCCTAATTATTATCGATTAAGGGTTGATTTTTCAATAGTCAGATAAATGTTATGTGAGGAATAAAATTGTTTCTGTCACTGTCTTATACAAACATTCTGACGCGACAGCATCATAATTAGTCCCCAGGTAACTTTTATCTTACCATTGAAAAATCAGCCCTAAATTTAATTTATTTTTTCTATTTTAATCAATGCAATATTGTAAGTGTTGTATAATTAATAATAATAATTTTAAATACTTACTAATTATAATTACTCATATAATTTTAATGAAATGATTATACCAAATGGTTTTATGTTATGTAATATCTAGTCTGTATGCTCAAGTGTATACATACATATAAACAAACAAACAAATGCGTGTTTTTTGTCTAATATAAGATTCTGTTGACACATTCTAGGTCGAATTTTGATATTTTTTATTTACAAAATTATTAATTCATAATGATTCGATTTGGGACTTGAAAAGAGACGGACCGCTGGGTTTGTTTCGGCATTTCTTCTCAGAGTAGTCAGATAGGTAATGCCGGCTTCGTCTAGTTTTTTACATATAATTTTAACGTGTTAAAGTGCTGTTTTATTCAAAACGTTGCTCCACACTAGGATTTTCTCGTGTGTCGTGGGAACGTTTACCCAAAAAAATTTGTGGGTCACACAGAGTTTTGTTTTCCTTTTGATTTTTCTGCATTGCGCGACATACGACGTGACGAACGCCCAATAATACTGTTATGAATATCAGCTCCTAGTTCGGTTTGAAACTAGTCGAGTTCAATATACATAAAAGAATTCTAAATAACAAATCAATTACAAAAAACACCCTATAAACTAGATAATATTAAAAAAATATTTGACATTCCTTAACATTAGCCATTAACTCAATCTTCATCCAGTACAAGCAAGATTCGACCTTATAAGTTCAACATATTTGACCTAGAATCCGTCAACAAGATTCTATTCATCGTATAACTTAAGTATTATAATTAATTTAAAATTGGTATAATTGCGTTTGACATTAACATTAACAGTCACTATTAGTTACCATAAAAATTTGGTTTAAAGTCACTATTTTAATATTTAAGACTGGCAAGACTAATGCATTAAATTATTTTACTTTGCAGTGGCAACACCTTTATTAGGTTACATTATTCCAATAAAAAAACAGTATGACTTAATGTTTTCTTTTTTTCTTTAAAATTATTCTAATATAAGGATTTTTGCGTTTTTGTCACTTAAATACAAGTTTCAAGGTTATTAAATTCAAATTAAATGTCCCGATATATTAAGAAGATCTTTTTCAGCTATGTATAAAGTATTGATCTAAGATCTAATCAAGGAGAACAAATAACTCATTTCCATTACACTAACGCGCTGCGTAATAAAATTCAAAATCGGTAAAATTCAGAGTAAAAAAAATATTTTTTTTTTTTTTGTTAAAATTGTTTAACAACTTTAGAAACTTTTAAACATTATAAAGATTTCTAAAATTGCTGTTTTCCCTAATCTACTAGTAAAACTAAACTTAACTGTAAGCGTAATTAAGCTATTCGCCCATAAAAGCTGCTCACAGAAATTCACAGACAGCAATTTTTCTTCACTCGCCAGTTGCTGCTCCCCAAGGAGGGGGAGGTTTTGTATTTATTAGCATTTTGAAAAGATTGAAAAATGTTGAAATTGCCCTAGAAGGGTGTCCATAAATTACAGGCGACGACGGTTGGTTCGAATCTCATCTAATCTCACTTTAGGGAGAGCAACTTGACAAAAATCACCCAATTTCTTAGTATAATATTCTATCTTTATTTTTTCATTTCATTAAATTTATAACTCTTTTTTCTTTTCACGTGTCAATATATAAAAATAAATAATCCAAAGCGTTTACGTAAGAAACCCACATTCAGAAAAATGTCACGTGAGATTAGGGGATGTTGAACAAAATCTCACGACAACTCACCAAGGGGGAAGGGAAACAGAAATTTAAAAAAACACTCAACAATCACTTTCTTTATGGCCCACTTAATTACTCCTGTAACTACAAAATAATGTTGAAATCTGCTCCTAATTAAAAAAAGTCCGTCACCCCAACTACTAGGTCATAACTCATACGTGAAAAAAAGTCGAATGTAAACATTTAATTTTTATTTTCTAATTCCAGTAGTTAATTGCTGTCAATGTGTGTGTGTATTAGATGTTGTTCGCTTTGCTTGTAATTGTAAGTATTGATTTTTTTTTTGTATTTACTTTGCACCGTTTGTGAATGTTAGAATTTAACATTAGTAAGTTTTATCATCCCTTAAAATACTGTGTTGATCTCATGAATGTTGTATTGTAACTGTTCTGTTATTTCAATTTGAGTTTTAACCCACAAAAAATTTGGCTCATTTTACAATGACACTATTTAAGTGCTATTGAAAAAGAAACTGTTATTTGGAATTGAGTTCTGTTTGTATTCAATTAAAGCTCGATTTAGAACTTACGAGTAAATATACAGTTACTTTCCTTCATGAGAGATAGATATCTAGTTATCTTCTCTTCTAACTAAAAAATAAACATTCCTCACATTTAAATATCAACTTTGATATCCTCCAAATAAGTCACATTTTCAATTACAGGCAACTTCAGGCAGGAGTTTCATTCTGAATCGTCTCCAAAGCACATTAAACCTGAAGATCCCGAAAATATGACAGATCCTGTTGCAGATTCGCCCAACTCACGGTACATACATTTTAACGTTGATAGTCCTAGCAATATTTTTAAAGAAACTGACATTTAAAAATGTCCTAATTATTATTAAATACATTTAACATACAATTACAGAGTTTTCCAAGAAATTGATAGTTAAAATTGCATAATAATACAATGGGTAGCCCAAGATTGATTTGGTATGCCAGTAAGAAAATATAAAGCAGAGAGAATGTAAAAAAAACATTTTTTTTTCTTTAAAAAACGATCCACTAAATTAGGCGTAAATAACAAGTGGAATGTATTTCTTACTTGCAT